TTTTTAAACATATAAACTATTTGTAATATTTTTAGTTTATTATAAATATGTAATAATATTGTGATTTCTTTTACCAATCAAATATTAAATAAACCAATTTTCCAGCAATTCTTGTCATTTCTTTATTCAAATCATTTTTTCCGTAATTGAGTCAAAAACGCCTTAAAGAGCCTTAAAATTGTGTTTTACATATTTTATAGATTATTGTAAACAATGTATAAGTTTTTAATTTACAACTCATATCAATCTTTAACATTCATCAGTCACTTGTATTGTATTATTAATTATTAATTAATAATTAATCTTTAAAGTCAAGTAAAATTCAAAAGTTTTAAAAAGTTTGCAAATAATTTACTCAAATATTTTAGGAAATAGTTTTATGGAAACTTATAATCAGTAAATTATCTATTAATTCATCGTTAATATACAAATTCAATCTAAAACACGTGAAGCGATAATTGGTTCATACGATCGATCAGTAATCACACAATCAGTAAAAATAAACTTTTAATTAACTTTTAGACGAAGAAATGTATGGATGACTACATGACTGGCAAGAGATGGCACGACAATAGCGTTGGAAAGCCCTATAAAAGGACTGGCATTTGAGTGACATTTCCTTTTCCGCCTATCATTGGGTCTCTCATCACATGTTTGTGTCGTTTAACACAAATTCACTCAACAATTGAATTGACTGTCCGTTCATTTGACCGCAAAAGAGATGATTATTTTCAAGGATTTGATTACAGGTAACGCTTGGATGTGATTGTTATATGATATTAATGGCACTCTTGTTGTCCATCAGGTGATGAACTGTTCACCGATTCATCCAAAGTAAGGCTCGTTGACGGATGTCTGTGGGAAGTGGAGTGTCGGGTAAGACAATGACACCAACACCTTGTTTAACACCCCCTCTAATGCCCCCATCGGTGACCCCACAGCACGTGACCCGAAAACAGGGCGAAATAGAGATCGCGGGCTTCAACGCGTCGGCCGAAGAAGTGGAAGAGGGAACCGATGAACAGGTGGAGTCCGGTCTCGATCTCGTACTCAACCAACGGCTCGTCGAAACCGGTTTTACCAAATCTGATTACAAGAACTATTTAAAGACTTATACAAAATCGTATGTCTCTATCACTAAACCCGTGTCTGACTTATGTCTCAGTTGTTTGACATTTTGATTGCTTTTTCAGACTTCAGGATAAGTGGAAGGAATTGGAGTTCAGCGAAGACGAGATCAATACAGCGAAGACTAAACTGACGGAAGCGGTGAAGAAAGTGTTACCAAAGTTAGGAGACTATCAATTCTTTTTGGGTATGTTTTAGCCATGACTTGTCGTCGAAATGCTATAACATATGGACTTAACGCACACTTCAGGCGAGAGCACAAATCCGGACGGAATGGTCGGTCTATTGGAATACCGGGAGAAAGAGGACGGTTCGGGCGAAACACCGGTTATGATGTTCTTCAAGCACGGACTCGACGAGGAGAAAGTTTAACCCATTATCTGCTTATTTAATACCAATATTTAGGACTAATTATTGTACTATTGATTAATGGATGGAAAATTGTGTCGTTTTTATGGGAATTTCTAATTTTTAATCTTTTCAAAAATTATTTCGATTTACGAGAAATTAATTAAAATGAAATTTTGATTTTATTTTAAAATATGTTGTCATTTATTGTATTTGTTGTCACTTTTGTTATTAGCACTAGAATTTGTATGAAGTGTTGGCGCAAAATCCATGTCATAAGTCTCTCCTCTCTTTGGGTTCACTTAGAGAGCAATTTTGCCAAAAGTCAACCAAAACTGTGCTCTGTTTGCGTCGTTTGTCTCAGACCTACAGTTATATACAGTACTCATCAATTGTTAGCACAGAGAGAGAGAGAGAGAGATTTTGAATGGGAGTGTTCTTTGAGTGAACTATTGGGCACTGAATTTGTGAAGAGATTAGATGTGAGTGAAGTCACTGATTGTCACATTTGGTTGTGATATCAAAAGTATGGATCGCATGGAAGCCTTCAATAGGACTTTCGATGCGTTTGAATCGAGAAACAAATATAAGTCAACGGAAAGATCCAGTCATTCATTATCGGTATTATTGTGACGACCACTCAATGGTTGACAAAATTCTCATTTCGTTGTGTTATTAGTTTCACGACAGAGAAGACATTAGACGTCGTTTGGCATTAGATTCTGACAGTGAAGATATGTCTGGCTTTAGATCTTCACGGAAATCAAGTCTTATGAGTCGTCTTCAAAACGGCCAGAGTTTACAAATTTGTTTCATGAATGAGACGACCAGTGATTCCGTCCTTCGAGTAAATTAATTGTTTTTTGCATATATTCTGTCATTCAATCGACTTTTCATTATTAATAGGAAAACGATTACCAAAATGAAGAGAGAATTGAGGACAACAGTTGCAAAACTAATCCCGTTTTAGACAATTCCTATGTAATGACAACCGACACAAACCTTTCAAAGACGAGTCCAAACAATAATAGCTCATTGAATATAAGCGATTCGTTGAATGCAATTAATATCTCTTCACCAAATATGAATCGACCAAATCATTTATTTACACGATTAGATTCCGGATCTATTGAACTCAAGAATTATGATTTATTCTCAGTTATAGAAAAGCCGCCCAAAAAGGAATTGTTTAGTGACTATCATTCAAAACTTCACACCGAAGCCAGACTTGCTTTGGCACAGGTATTGCATTCCGTATTCATTGTTATATATTATGGATTATATAAATTACAAATTTAATGTTTAGGTGAAAAAAATTGTAAAAAAGCAAATAGAAGTGGAAAGAGATCGGAATGAAAGTCGTTCATCAGTTTATAACTTAATTAATATTCCGATTAAATATAAATTAAGAAAAAATAAACTCTCAAAAAGTCTCTTAAAAGAATTGAATGTCTCTCAGTTGCAGATCATTGTTAATGATATGTATTCACAAATTGAAAGTAAGTTGTGCTTAATGTTTATACCAAAAACTTTATATGTTAGGTGTTTTATTGGTGATATTTGTGCCCTTGGTATATTTATATATTTGTATTGTATTTTTGATTCTCTTATTAATTATATAATAGGTTTAAACACAGAATTGATGCAACTATTAGTGAAAAGGGATGAGCTATATATGTCGCAGGACTCGGTTCTCGTCGATATCGAAGATCTGACTATATTTTTGTCAGTAATTCATCACTTCATTGCAATTTACAATAACTAACGATTTGTATACTTTTTTCACATTAGGTTTTCGAAGCAATAACTAATTCATGGTTTATATAATAAATCACATTTAAATGGTTATCAAATTGTTAAATAAGTTAAGTTTTCACTCATTATTAGTACTGTTTGGATATTTTGTTTTTTATTTTAAATGTAGATTTAAAATATTTATAATTTGTTTGTTATAAAATTTATTAATAAATACAATAAATTAGTTTTAAATTAATAAAAATTAACTAATTTAAATTAAACAATCAGTTAATCTGAAACATTTTGAAGTTAAAATAAAATATATAAAATCATTACAAGAAATACTGACCTCTGTTTTAATTGACTTACAATTGATATGAATATTTGGAAACATTTGGTTATATTTTTATTTCATTTTGAGTACAGAATGTGTTTAATCTTTAAATATAATCAAAATTAATGTAAATAAGCAAATGGTTATCATTTAGTGTATATAATGAATGGATCGCACGAACAGAAACGTTAACTCTTGAACGTCATCTCAACTTTCAAGACATGCATTATTTAATATTCATTGAAAGTTAATATAAGATAAAACAAAAACTTTCGCAAGAATATGACATGAAATTAAAAATGAATTAATTAATTCTTGACACAATTAACTTCAATTATTGGTTCATACTTTATAATGATGGTCGATTATTTGCCCTGGTCAAAATAGATTTTTCAATTGTTTGTGTCAAGAGATTGGTTTTAAAGCAAAGACTAGAGGCACCCATAATTTGAGAGTCCGCATCATTTGACGCCATTCCTCTCACAGACATTGGAAACAATCGGAACCGACGGTAATCTGAAGGGTATATGTATGGGTTGGGGCGCAGAGGTGTGCACTTTATATCCTATGCTTTTGTGGCAAATACACATCGAAATAAAAAAAATTTCAAATAATAATGTCTAATGTGTGTCTTGTTTTGGCTTTGGTGGTCATCGATGACTTTTGATATAAAATTTGTTAAGATTCTAAATTAATTACTAAATACTGTATTTCAATTAAACAAATCGATTTTTGTGGAAAGTATTAGAATTTTCAAATTTTAAAAAATGATTTGAAATTAATTCAACAAAAATTCTCGCGTAATTATTTTACAAAAATTTATCAGAATAAACATTTCAATGAATATTTCATATTAAACTACAGTACAAACCACAAAAGTTTAAAGTTATCGACGGTTACTTTAGGTTTAGAATTGATAATTTGATTTCATCTCACAATATACTACAGATACATGTATTTATTTCATTCATAAAATGTATTGTAATTCACTTACTATTTGCTAATTTAGGTATCAATGAATGCATGTTTAGATCTGCAATAAGTCCTTAAAATCCAAATTCATTGCATTTTTAACAAATGTGTTATACTTACTAAATATGAGATTACATGGCATTCAAATGCAGTATAATTTACAAGATTTTAAAAAGTTTTAAAACAGGTAAATATTTATGCCATAATTTTCCAAAATAATGTGATATTTAATAAAATCAATTTTTTGTCACATAAATATATTCAATCTACGAAACTTAAAGTTCAAAATAGCTGAACAAAATACACCACTATTTTGATGTTGAATTGTGATTACAAAGTGGAAGAAATTGTACGGAAATCAAGGTTTTATTTTTAATGAGAAAATACTATATTTCTTTGATAATATTGAATGTCGTAAAGATATTCCATCAAAACAAGTGCTAAACTTAGTCGACGAGACTATTATAATAATTTTTACATTAATGGTGTAAATGGATATTCTTTGTAAGTTTCAATTCAAGTTAAAAATCAATAGGATTTTTAGGTGAATTGTTAGACATATTTTCTTATATATAATTATTAAATTTAAATATTTGAATAAATATACTACTGATCATCAGTTTCTTATGTATATTTCGATAAAATTTATTATAAAGTTTAGAAACTAAATAAAATTTCTATATTTAAAAAATCATCAAAAGTTCATTTGAAAATTATCTAACTTTAATTAATAAGTTTAAAAAAGTTTGAATAATATAACTTGTGATAATTCTCTCATAGAGCAAAAAGTCGCCTGAGAAATATAAATAAGTTTATCATATATTGACAGCTAATTTGTATTACCTGTTATATAAAAATGCTAATTTGTGTAAAACAGTTAACATAGGATTGGGATTTAAACTTATTGTAAGTTTATTTGGATGTGTGTTTAGATGTGTTGTTTTGTGATGAATGTATGGATAGACTGCACATGATCTGAAGGCAAATTCCTAAACATTAACTCTGTGTAGCAGTTATTCGTTGGGTTAATATTAAGCCAAACCATTGCCTAAAAAACCTTCACTTTCTAACACAGAAGAGCTCACATACTATTATCGTTCAGTCATTTCGTTTTTTAGAGTCATTCAAGGATTTTAACGACAGAGAGATTGGATTCATTGCAATCGTATTCTTCCCATCACTTGAACTCTCGTTTCAAATAAACATTTTTTATAATTTTCTAAATTGAAAGTGTATTTTGAATATGAGTTCCGGTAAGTAATCATATAATTATGCTTATAATTGCTTATAAATGCTAGAATATAATGAATTCTTGTAATAAAATGCAATGTCTTAATACAGAAGCGTTCGTAACTTTGGTCACAAATGACACCTACGGTATGGGAGCTCTGGTTTTGGCCCATTCTCTTCACGCAACCAATACTAGAGCACAACTCGTGGTTCTCATCACTCCTGGAGTTACCGATCACATGAAGTATTCATATATTTTGGCATAAATTGTGACCAAATTCTAACAATTGTCTCAAATTTTAGGAATACTTTATCTTCAGTATACCATTTGGTTCAGAGCGTAGATCTCATTCAAAGCACTGACACTGAAATCTTAGAGGCCATGAAAAGACCAGAACTTGGAGTCACGTTATCTAAGATTCATTGCTGGCGTTTAACTCAATATCAAAAATGTGTGTTTTTAGACGCCGACTGTCTTGTCGTGAAAAACATCGACGAATTGTTTGAGAAACAAGAGTTGTCAGCCGTTCCCGACATAGGATGGCCCGACTGTTTCAACTCTGGAGTATTCGTGTTTTCGCCTTCAGAGGAGACTTTCCGCGCATTGCTTAAGACGGCTATAGAAAGCGGCAGTTTTGACGGCGGAGACCAGGGATTACTTAACTCATACTTCTCTGACTGGCAAACCAAAGATATTGCACGACATTTGTCCTTCATTTATAACATGAGTTCAATTGCCGTCTATTCATATCCGCCCGCATACAGACAGTCAGTTCTTTTTCTTGAGATTAAATTCTTTAATAATAATAATCTGTTTTTATCATTAGATTTGGTAAAAATGTAAAAGTTATTCACTTTTTGGGTTCTTTGAAGCCGTGGTTCTATCCATACAATGTATTGACGGGTCAAGTGATGCAACCAAAGGACATCCAGGGATCGCAACAATTAGATCACGTCCAGCAGTGGTGGAATGTCTTCATGAGTAAAGTCCAGTCCACACTTACCACAGAGGATGTGAGTATTGTTTTAAAAAATGAACAACAACTAACAAAACTAATTACTGAATGTAAATGTCTTGTGTTTGTCTCAAAATCGTATTTGATTTCCGCTCTAAACTATTTATATGTTTTTTAACATTTAATCATAATTTAGTCAATGATTGTCTTATACCTAAAACACTGTATTCATCTAAATCTAAATTATTTGTAAACCCACTGCAATCTGAGCCGTATTCCAAATGCAGTGTGTGTTGAGTCCTATTTTCGTTGTGTCAAACACTTGTGTTTTATTGCTAACCTCGTGTCCGATGTATGGGTCTGTTCCCAGACTGGCGGGAGTTCCCAAACGGGGTCACAATCGCCGCCTCCACCAGAGTTGGAAGTGCACGCCTCCCACGGAGAGCGGGAAAGTGGGAGTTCCCCTCCCGTTCATCACGACTACTACATTGAGAAAGTGGAAGTTCCCGCTCCCGGACCACCACAAGGTGACCATGAATTCCCGCAGCCCTTTGGTGTGGCGGCACTTCAGCTCAGGGAAGAGCCGGCTGTGGTCGAGACCGAGGGTGCGGCGAATGAGCACAAGCCGGACGACACAACACCCGAACCCAATCAACGATTGCATGAGACAGAGGGGGAGACCCCCGACCCGGGCCTACCGATTAGCGAGAGCTCATTACATAAGCATGAATTGACTAATAAGACTAATGAATTGACAGAACCAGAAGTAATTAGAGACTAAGAAATGAAAATGTGTTGACTATATGTGTGACTATAACTTGTGAATTGTGTTACAGAGCGGACTCGCGGGCACTCTATCCAAAATCCATTTGTCCGAAGAGTACGGCGGCATTGAAGAGTGTGGCGGCAATCGGGACGAGTTTGCGAGACAGAAGGCGTGGGAAAGCGGACAAATCGATTACTTGGGAACCGATTCGTTCGCCAACATCCTAAAGAAGATCAACGAAGCCATCAACGCTCCGGCGTCCAACTAATACCCGTCGATGTCTTGTTTTTAAGTGCCTTTAGTAACCATTTTTCATTAACTTAATTAATAAAAACTATAACACATTTTTATTTGTGCCAAAAGTTTAATTTCTGTGTAATATTTATAAATAGTTTGTAAAATGTTTTTAACATTCTTTGAGAATCTCTAGTAATTTGTGTGAAAAATATTGTTTTAAAAACTAGTCTTTGTTTTAATATTTGAAAATAAATTAAATTATTTTATCATAACTTTAGAAAATGTGTTAAATATTTGAATAAAAACAAAGTATTGACTAATGGATCACATTTGTGGCAAATCCACCTTTAATTGCTCATCAGTTTCGAGACCAATCTCTTCGATGAATGCTTTCTTCGGCTTCGGATAAGACTCGAGAATCATATCAACCATATTAGTGGCCATTCGCTTACGTTTACGCCAATCAGTGACCAACTTTTGCCTCTCATTCTTCAGCTTATGGTTCGCTTTGGGATCTAAACCTTTGGCTTTGCTGTCAATGCATTTCATCCTCTCCTCCATCTCTGAGGTCTGGGCTTTCAATTCAGACAACTGTTCGCTAATCTGTGCCAAAGTCTGACCGCTTTTAATGGCCGACAGTTTGGACGCCTTATGTTTGTGCTCGTCGTCCACTTGATTGAACTCTTTGCCCAATTGATCCAACTGTTGGTCCAATTGTTTGAGCTGTTGGTCATCGACGGCCTCGAAGTTGTCCTGAAGTGGGAAATAGATCTTTTGTTTGCCATTTAGTTTCTCAATGATCTTCTCTTTGGCCGACAAGTCCTCCAACGCCTTAAAGACCGCTGTTTTGCTTAATTTGCTGTCTTTTGAGTTCATATTATTGAAGACATCGTTTCCACTGAACGGACGGTTAGTCTTTGATAAATAGCTCTTCACGAGAGACACCAACGGATCCTTTGTTTTGCTCATCGCTTAGCAATGGTTGACACAAAACACAGACAAATGACAAATGAATTGAATGTTTGGTAATATAATTGTCTCACAAATTGGTCCCAAAATATGCGACAAAAGTGAAGACACGAGTCATTAGTAATGAATGATTCAATTCATGACTCAATTTGAAGCCAAAGCGCGAAACGATTGACAACTGATTGGCGAACAAAAGATGACATCATTTATGAATTGTTTACATGTTTTGCACAAAACGTGTTTTAAATGCAATCTTTTTCAACACATTTACCATTCATTTGATTCAATAGTTGTCTTCAATTATCTTAATTGTCTGATCGATGGCTGGAAATAAGAGAAAACATTTGGAGACAAAGCGACGCAAGTTTGAGGCGAAGAGCGGATCCAAAAGTGACACCAATTTGTTTGAATTTCACAGAAATAAAGTGAAACACAATATAATTGGCAGAAAAGTGGCCAAAAATGAAGTGTCAAACAAAGGGCTGTCGAGGAATAAGTCGTACACTAAGCGGAAGAATACGATTCTTCAGGAATACAAGAGTAGACATAAGACTGGAAAAGGTCTGCAAGACTTGCGGAACAAAGACAACGAAGACATGAAACATGACTTACAAGAAGCGATTGAAATGTCTTTCGACGAAAACACTGTTTTGACTCATAAAGGAAGACATCTGAAGGACTTTATGGACGATCACATCGGTTCCGATGACGAAGACTTGGATCTCTTTAGTAGACCAGACTTTGTTGAGTCCACGCATTTCGGCGGCGGTTCTGATGGAAGACCCAAATCGGCGAATGAAGTGTTGAATCAGATTATGGATGAGAAGAGAGACAAACAGTTGGAAAGACAGGCAAACATTGAATTGACACAAAAATTGGACACCGAATGGATGGCCGTTAAGAGTATATTAAGACACAAATCAGTGAGACATGAATTGCCGCAAAACACGAACCAAGACTACGATATTTTAGTCAAAGAACTCATGTTTGACACAAATAAACCCATAAGTCGTGTCCAAAGTGTTAGCCAAACAATGAGCAAATCAATTGAGACAAACAACGAGAGCACACCAACCATTCACAAGAGTACCGAAACATTATTTAAACAATTTATAGAAGCGATTGAAGTGAACAATAATTGGACACAAATATTAGCGCTGATTAACGGTTCGGGCAATCATTTATTGTCACAAATATCTGAAGAATCTTTGAGTTTATTGTTTGAAAAATACCAAACAATTACTGAAATCGATAGTGATTTCAATTGTCATAATTTGGCCATCATTTGGATCGGATGTCATTTCAAACAAACAAAGCTTATTGTAAGACTTATATTGATTCAAATGTTGTCAAAACTCAAAATCAATTCATTCAATGAAATTGCAATCGTTTTGGTTATCATAAGATTATTATTAATGACAGCGAATGGAGTATATATTCCACAAGTTGTTGACTCTCTTATGAAAGTTCTTCGTTTGTCTCAACAAAAGGAAGCAATTGAACCAACCGTTGGACACAAGAATAAAGACAACTGCAGTCTTGCGGTGAATGAAGAGATCACTTCCAATGAGTGTTCAAACTTTAACATCAAATATATTTTTGACGAAACATTCACTACTCTTAAAGAGATTGACATAAAATGTATGCTTTTAAGTGAAACACTTAAACGATTAGATGAAATGTTGGACTCGTACGCAAAGATGCCATCATTTAATGAATTAATAGCTCCACTGAAGGCATTATGTCTGCAATTATCACAAAATGAGTATTTAAATGAAGAGCTAAAAGAGTTAATGAATGGCGTATTGTCTAAAGTGAACGCATCGGCGCCTCGAGTGGTGTTGAGTGAGAGGCGCCGGAAACCCTTTATGCTGCCTATGTTTGAGCCCAAGTTTGACGACAACTCCAGTCATGAGAAGAAGAATTCGAAGAAACGATTGACGAAGAAATACAATAGAGAACTGAAAGGCGCCCAAAGAGAGCTCCGCAAAGACTCCACTTTCATGAGGAATACTTGGATTGAAGAGATCACTGCCAACGACGACAGACGCAAGACTAAAGTCAAACAATTGATGGGAGATTTGGCTCAACAACAGGGCTTATATAAGAAGAGCAAAAAATGATTTATTTATTTGTTATATCATTATATGATATGAATTTACATTTCTTTTATAATTAAAAGTTAAATTTGAAATCAAATGGTCTTTTTATTTATTGAACTGAATTGCCGTCAATTCAGTCTAAATCGGCGATTAATAACTAAAGCATTGAATTTTATGGAAAAACAATTGAGAAATATTTTAACTGTTAGAAAGATTATAGCAATTGATTGAATCAAATAAAACAAAATATTATAAATTATATCAAAGATGTGAATTTTAAATGTCATTAGAAAGCATTAGTAATCAGAGAAGTGATTCACATATAGTGGCAATCATTTGATCAGTTATAGGCATCACTTCTGATTGGCGCCCCTTTTAGCCAACTTATCGGCCCTTTCATTGCCGGTCACACCTGAATGCGCGGGCACTTTGGTCTACAAATATGACAAACAAAACCACATATCAATGCAAACATCTTAAAACAGGGACACATCCGGAGATGACGCCCATCGGGTATCTGTAATTACTAACCCATTTGACGTTCATTCCTTGTGAGGCGTCCGCCAGATCCTGAAAGTCCTGTTTGTTTTTGTGCGCCTCTTTGGCTCCGTTCGCGATATCCCACACATACTGACTGTCAGTCTTGATCTCCACGCGGGTGTGACCCAACTCTCGGGCCACTTCCAGTCCACGACGCGGCGCCTGTATCTCCGCCCGATTGTTGGTCTGACGGCCGGTCAGGGGTTCGGACAAATCGCGATCCGGACGACTGGGAAAGTGGACACCAATGCCTGCGTTGGCGCCCGGCATCCCATTTCGCGGACACGCGCCGTCTGTATGGATCTCGAATCGGGGCTCAGAGTACCCGCTGGAGGCCACTGATGACCGGCCACTCCCGCCGCGGTTCCCATACGAATGGGCAGATCCAGTCGAAGCCGATGCGTAGTCCATGCCGTGCGAGCGGTGACCTCCGCCTCCACCACCACTACTGCCGCTCATGTAATTCATGGCCTCTTGAGGTGTATTGAAACTCTTGAACTGAGCGCCGGAGTAGCCATTGGTTTGTTCCTTGCAATCGTTCCTACGGTTGGAGTTGTGGTCAATGGTTAGTCAGCGGGTACTCAATATCGGGTCAGTGTCAGGGGTCGGAGGGGGTGAGAGGGGGTCAGAGGGGGTCAGAGGTGTGGCAGAGAGTGAGACAATAGACTGTATTGAATGTGTAGTGTATGTAAAGGTTATATATTTACCACGAGTTATAGACACCGGTTTGTCGGCCATCCCTTACGGCATAGTATCTATCGTTTGGCATTTTGGGTCACTTTTGGGTCTCTTTTGGATCACTTTTGGGTTAAATGTGGAAATGGTTTGAATGAATGGCAAACGTATTGAACGCAACACACAATCAGTCTGTCATAAAGTTTGAAACCCAACACTCAATGAGTCATTGCATTGAAATGACTCACAACTACTGCACACTAAAGTGAGAATTTTTACTTTTTGAAGTTATATAACGTACGTGACCTTCACTACAGCAATATGATTGGCTGTTAGACTTGTGTGTGAGTTGAGTAGTGTCTAACAGCCAATCATATTGCTGTAGTGAAGGTCACGTACGTTATATAACTTCAAAAAGTAAAAATTCTCACTATATTCATGGGTCAAAGGTTTGGCCAATCAATCCAAGTGTTAAATGTTTCACATTTACTCACTTTTTGAACCCTATTTTGTTTAAAAGTAAAAACTAAAAGCATTCAAAAGTTTTGAAACAAATGCAAAAAACTTCGCAAAAATAATTTCATTCATAATTTCGGACGTAATTTATGTAAAGAAATAATGCCTTCAATTGTTTGGACACAAAATTAATACTTTTTAATGAATTAATGAATAAATGATAATATTTTTGCCATAAAATCGTGACCGAAATGGAGATGAGTTGTGGAAGTGTTGGAACCGTTAAGGAGAGTGTGTCGGCGCGAAGACGTGTCCTGTATTCGGCTGTCTGTGCCGTCTGTCACGAGAATGAGTTCTCGTTGGCAGACAAGCCATCGTTGGACACATTGTTGCAAATGCTTCAGAGCCTCCTCTTCGAGATCGGCAGAAGTAGTCAAGCCTTCTGTGAATTGAGTGGTCGGACGGAACCACTGGTCGGCGATGTAGTGATGGCTCTCATCGAAATGGGTCTCAACTGTGACTCGTTGTCGTCGTACGCCATGCGAGCCAATCGGGTGACCATCGCTTCGCCGCAACTGATGGCCAAACAGTCGACGCCTCGTATACTACAGGCGGGAGAGAAGAAACAGTTGACGCCTTATATCGCCGACTATTTGCCGGCCTTTCCTGACCCGCACTCATACATCCGGACGCCGACACACAAACAGCCCGTCACTGAATACGAGGCCATTCGCGAGAAGAGCGCCTCTCAGAAGAGGGACGTCGAGAGAGCGTTAACCAAATTCATGGCCAAAACGTGCGGCCATTCTCTCACTCATCGACTCTTTCCCGACGAACAGATCTCTCATTTGTTTCCATTAATTATACTTAAAGTGGAGTCCAATCCATATCTGAACGCATTGTTACCCAAAGACCAAGTGTTTGACGACAATGAGGAGCAACTGATCCATAAGAAGGAAACCGATAAAAAGGCTAAACCTGTGGTGAATGTAAGCGACAAAACAGATGTTCTCAATGCAGACAATGCCACTGAAGAGCAGACAAATGAGACCAATAAGTTAACGCTTAATACGTCGGCCACTGATAATGATGTGTTAGACAACCCATACTTGAGACCAATTAAAATGTCTTCACGAAAAAGGAGTCGAAAGCAATTTGAGACATAAATCGGAAAATAATATCAACTCTTAAAGTAATTGTCAAACAAATTGTGTCTTATATTGCGCTCAAACTAACAAATAATATATGAAAATCTGGTTTTTATTTCTGCTCTAATGAGCGAACAAATAGCGAAACCTTTATATTTAAAACAACAATAATTACTATTCAAACCTTTGGGTCTTATTTTAAGGTTTAAACAGTTAATTATCACTCATTTCTTGCTATACAATATATTATGTACAATATATACATACAATGAGTGTTACTTTTCTATTATTGTTTATGCAATTGTATAAAAACATTGTAATATTACCTGAAAAGCCAATAAAATCATTACATAACTTGTTTAATGTGACGATACTATTGAGTACGAGTTGTTTTGCATGATTGCTATTAATGTAGCGATCGGTTGTCAATTACACCGCAAAGACCCGCCGCTCCACTTATGTCGTCCTTTATATCAAATCTAATAGCAATGCAATCAATGTTTTATGTTTAGTCCAATTATTGATGTCATAAATACCATATTTTTGGTATTTTCTACACTTATTGCCACAATTTGCACAAATAATTAATTAATGGATAAATACTTTTGTGCAATAAGTTTCAGATTTAAAACATAAATCATTAAAAATGGTATTTTCGATGTTATCATTAACTTGATTGGCATATACTATGTACTGATCCGGATGTGCGCTAATGGCTGGTCAGTGATCGGGTGATGGCTATCGATTATCTCCGGAAATATTACATCAATTATCACACATTTGTTTAATAGTTTTAGCCATTCATTTACTATTATACGGGTTTAAATAGGTCAGACTTATATGTGATGTTCATTAATATTCATACTTATGTAAAGTACCTAAGATAACTAACTACCGATCATTAATCATTTCTTAAACTTAGTAATACCAAAATTACCAATAATTTCCGATGTTTATTTTTGTCTGAATAAATAGTGTATTGAAACCCAATTTGGTGTCAAACCAAAGAGAGGGCAATTCAGGTGCCGACCAGTTATTGATTTGAATTTTCTAATAGAAATCAATTAGTTGTAACATGGAATCAAAACTGAAAGCTTATAGAGTCTATAATATAGACTGTTTTAACATTTATTTGAAAACTTGTAATTATATTTGAGTAAAATTTCTCTAAATTTTTATTAATATTTAAATGATATCCAGACTATATTTAGTGCCTAATAATTGATTAATAGATTTGATAAATAGGCTAATTGTTTGGTTGAAATTCAATTTGCAATCATTTTGAATATGATTAGACTTTTGACTTAAATAACTAGATATGACACGAGTTTTCAAAATCAACTTTTAATATGGGATTGATTTACATAAAAATGCAATCGGGAGGGGATTGGAGGGGAAAGGAGGGCTTCATTGAGTGATTTTTATCAATAATATGACATTAGAGTCAGATATTCCGAAACCTTTGGCGAAATGTTATACACAGTATTGAAACATATGAAAGAATGGGTCACTTCCTATAGACATCTCAAATAACTTTTCAATTTTAATTGACGTAAAATTGAGTGACTTTTCTCTAAAATTATGCCCAATTTATATCTCAATGCATAATAGCGTTCACTAAAATAGTATTCAATCAATACATTCATTTTGGTTCTGGATTTGAAAGTTTTTGACAATAATATAAAAGATTAGCTTAATTTGTATGAAAAATTCAAATGAATAATTAATTTAATTTTTATTTTTCGTAAAACAAAATACTAAAAGAAATAATATTAAATCGGGAGAAAAAATCGTTATCTGAGTTCTGAGTTTTGTCTTATATTTTTTGAATGATATCAAAAATTTCTTTTTATAATTTGAGCGCAAATTAACATAATATATGGCTTTTGGGCATAAGAAGAGTGCACACAATTACGGAAAATCCTGTTTTATATATAATATTATTTTTTGTTCAGTTTTTGTTCATATGGTTTATCACATTTGAAGTGCTTCTGGCGCTTATAAGTGTATATATAAAAAATAAAGTTTATATTATTTGCAGGATTATTGTATATTTAATTAAAACAGTATATTAATTTTGCTCTGAGTGTAAACAAAATTTCCACAAGAGCTTTATTCTTTTACAAAAATATAAAAGAAAGAAATTATGCTTAGTTGTCATTAATATTTTTATGCAAATTGAGCAACATTGTACTTATGATACAAGAATTTATAGGAATTAAAATGAAATAACATCTCCAGATCAGTCCAATTGATAAAATCCCATTCTCTGTGCTATTATCAAAGCTCTGGCATAACTTATTACAGTAGGAATGCAATTATCCAATGGTCTCACACAACAAACATATGGCAACTTTATAACAAATATTTTATGTTGTAAATATTAATATTAATAACAGTTCATTGTATCACTATTTACTGTAATAGTGTGTAAAACACTATAAAATTTACCATAACATGGTCAATTTTCTTTGTGGCAATCTTACAAAATTATAGAATTTAATAAAAACTATAATGAAAACATTTAATGTTGGAAATATTACACTTTAGTTCTGTAAACAAAATTAATTATATGCATAAAATGTGTAATGGTCATAAGTAAATCAAATTTGGTTGGCTATAAAGCCTCGTTATTAAACGAGTTTTGTTACTAATAGATTTTAAAGTTATCTAAATTCAGTATAAAATAAGCGGTCTTAATACTTTTGTTAAATAGTTAATATGCCGAATTCCGTAGGGTTTGGTGTTAGATATGCATCTCTTATCCATGTCTTCCCTATTCTATAGAATAGGATATAAATTATAACAATATTTAGAAATTCTTCAAATACTCGACACTTTGATGTGAAGGCTTTGAGTGCGAAACAAATTGCTTAACAATTAATCGGCTAATTATTAAACATTTTATTCTTATAAATTTCAATAAAATTCATACCAAAAACTGAACAAAATATCACTAATTATTTCATATTTTAAAAAATAAATTTTATCTAAAAATGAATATTTAATGATTTGATTTTAATAATTAATTGATGAATAAATTTCTAAATTCTTATATTATGCGAACAATTTTATGAATACATTGTTTTATTGCATGATAATTATTAGATAACAATTTCAGTTCACCCTTTCACACACTAAGTCGAGCCCATGACTGAAACCGCTTATAGGGTGGGCTCATCTCGGCGTGAGAGCCGGTGCGGCAATACTAGCCGTCCACCGCAGGACCTACAGCACTATTCTCTGTAAAACTCTACAATAGCATCCACATAGATAAACACGAAGTTACCCACAAAACTATTGTAATTACTTTATATTGAATTACTGTTACACTTGCTATTAATCCATTTTCTTCTCATCCAAACCATAAATATTTTCTAAAGTTTGTGCAATAGTTTTACAATATTTTCAATTCATATCTCTTACTTTGTTAGTTTGAAAATAACTGAGTAACTATTAAAATGAGTTGTAACCTTTATGAACTTCAACTAATCACATTGTTGTATAACATTGTTATATTTAATTTTGTATATAATTTTTTAAAATTACATCTATAATAGAATTTGTTGAGACATTTTATTGTATTAAGTTATGATAATTTTGGTGATGATATAATATGCAATGCTCCATTATCAGTAATGGACAAAATAATATGCCAATTAAAAAGCTTTAAAACTGAATTTATCATTTTGAGTCGTTAAAAGAGTTTTTATTACTAACAGACAGTATATCCCATATGAAGACATAATGACAGATTCTTATCATTAGTTTTTATGAATTTTTAAGTTTTTCTAAATTGAAATTTTATTATATAAATGTATAAACAATTTGTAAAATAATGCTGTTATCACTTTAATGCTGGCAAAAAGAAGGTTAACCTGTCCTAAGAGGTCGGGTAGTCTCTAGTCGAGTGACTTACTGGTACTAAACCGATAAACAACTCAACCATCAAATCGTGAAAACGTTTTCGTGTTGCTTAAGAATACCTTATAATATAAGGCTTATATTCATTAGTCGTCCATAAGTTTCGATTCATTTAATCGTTTAAAAATCATTTAAACTTTTTTCTCCTTTTGGTACAAGTTTTCGAAGTTTTAAATATTTTAATTGAAATGTTATCTATTCTTTCGGAATTGACGTTATATTTATTATAACAAGTGATTTACTATACCATCAAATCAAATGTTGCGAAACGGTCTGAAAATTGTTTTGTTTTTGTGAACTCAACGATAAATTCAATGAAAAAATGTTAAGTAATTCTTAACTGGGAATACACTAAACAAATGCTACCGAATGCACACATGATGTGTGCAACTGTTTTCAATGTTTGCATTTTATTGCGAGTCTATTTCGTGATCCGCTGTAACATTGATTGTACAGATAATCCATTGATTATACACTAAGTTATCACGAAATAAAAGTTTTTAGGCATTGAGTGTTTGAATTCAATTAATCTAAACAAATATTAATTATTCTTCAAAAGTTTTGAATCAAAACGATTAGTGATAAAAGATATGTATATTATGTTTACGAGCGCTAACGCAGAAGTTAAGCATTACCTAAATGTTATAAAATGTTATTATTTAAAACTATTGACAATACATGTAGTTATTGTATATTTAAAATTAAACCCGAAAATTATTTTATAAAACTTTAAAATTTTGTGATTTATTTTTGTTTGATTTGATATAATTAAATATATATTTGAATTGCTTGTTAATTATGCACAAGTGAGTGAAAAATATATAAATTTTGTTAAAAATGTTTTATTAACATTAATTACCGGCTATAAAATTGATAAATACATTAATATATTACCACAAAAATTGAATTGAAAATATTTAGACACAAAAATAAATTACCACGAGTTTAATTTTATGCATTAAATGTGATTCTTACCCAAAATTATGAGATAAATTAATTAACAAAAAAGCATTAAAATGTTTTAATTATTAGAATTTTCTAAATAAATTCTTGACATTTTAGTTTAATCACTTAAATTGATCTCTCACTTAATC